CTTTCCTAGCGCCTTCGCTTTCGGACTGCCGCTCCCATCCTCCCCAGCACCCGGTTTCCGCCCTGCCCGCAACCCACCCCCTTCGGACTACAGTCCCTATCCGCCCCGCCCCTTTTTTCGAGCCTGCCTTTTTTCGTTCCGCCCCTCCCGAGTGTGCCTGGCTCCAGGTCCCATCAGCCCCAGCCCAGGGCGGTGGGAGTTGTGGTTCGAAACCTTTGGCGGGGCGGCCTTCCGCAGAGACCCGTTGGGGCCCCGCGCAGACGGGGTTGGCGAAGGGGCCCCCTTCCCTCGCCCCGGAGCGTCCCCGGATTCGGGTCCGGCTGCCTCCCTTTCGCTTTCCTTTCACTCCAGGCCGCCGACCTGGCCGAGTCGCCTCCCTCCCCGAGGTGGGGCCGGGCCAGCCCAGCCCAGCCCGGGTCCGCCCGCTCTTCTGCCGCTTGCTTTGCCTTTTCTTTCCTCTCCTCACTGGAGAACGTACGCTCATGATCCAAAAGGAGGCGGCGGCGGCGGTCCAGAGAACCGCCGCCTCGCAGCAGGGCGCCCGGTGCCAGGGCATCTCGAAGCAGGGTGCAAAATGCGGCTGGGCGGAATGCGGAGCCGCAGCGGCTTAATCGGGAGAGGAAGTTTCTCCCTGCCTTGTTCCCGCAAAGAAGGCCTGGCTGAAGGGAATAGGTGCGGCAGGGGAGTTACAGGGCATCCCTCGGAATGTCCTCCTTCCCCAGTCCTGGCCCTTGTGTAATGCGCTGGATTACAGTTCCCTGAATGCACAGCCACAGCAGGTGTAGCTCCCAGCACAGCTCGGATCAAGGATGGTGAAGTTAAACAAATCAGGGGGAAATACGCTGTGTGATCAAATGACACACACATGCACCCCTGGCAGACTTCCACTGAACGGAACGATGTTTATATTGCTGTTTTTATGGTGCTCTGTAAAGGGCCTTGGATTACGTTTTGACCAATGGCAATATTTACATTGGTTTTAACATCAATACATTGCTAATTTTCTCTTTTGATTTTAATGTGTGAATCTGTTTGAGAGTTTATTACAGTTTTTGAACATTCCTCACCTTAGAATGGCAGGAAACGATAGGAAGAGTCAGTGACTGGGTTCAGACATCATAAGACATAATACAGTTTGTTTGGTTCAGATTAGCTTTTTAAAAAAACAGCCATTATGGTTGATTCAACATGGCTTAGCATAATACAAGCCCAGTTGTCACAGTAGTAATGCAAGCCAAGCTCCAGATCCTAAGACAGCTGTACCCATATTCCTTAAAAAATATTTGCACATGTTGTTGAGACTTGACTCCTACATTATGCTGGTGACTGTTTTTGATTAGGAAGCCAGTTTTGAGAAATAGACCCAAGTGTATAACCAAAGACAGTTCAACAGGCAGACAACTTTCAAGGAAAACTTTGACTCAGTTATTTTAAAATCTACAATAATTTGTCGGTAAAAGACGGTATCTGTTAATTCTCCTCTAAATTTGGTGCAAGCTTTTAAGCCAAAGCTATAATACAACAAATGTTTAAGACGACTTTGGTTGTAGTGGGAAAAAAATTGGTGTTCTTTTTCTGTGAACTTAGGGAACTGCATGAGTGGGCAACAGGAATTCCAACTCTTTGTATCCATCTGTTTGGAAGGGGTAATATTTTTTTTCTTCGGTGGTTTTGAGGCTGTCCCCTGGTTGTTAATGCAGCAGTGTATTAAGTATAAGCTAATTAATCATTACTGGATCTGTACATATCAGCAACAATCCCATGTGTGTATTCATGATATCAAATGCTGGTTAGAGAATTAGTATTTTGGATAAGTTCTAATAGAAACCCATTCAATTAAGTGGGATTATGGTACCTACAAAGGGACATCTGAAATATCCAGTTTTGTTCTGACACAATACAAAGCAGCTGAGTGAATGCTAACTTAATTTTCATTTAGGATGAAGTTGATCCAGCACTCCAGGAGCTTGAATCCCGCCAAGAAGAGATTTTGAAACGCTTGCATGAATTGAAAGCTGCTGTGGATGGGCTCTCAAAACTGATCCAGACACCCGATGCAGACTTTGATGCCACTAACATAATTCAAGCTGATGAACATGCTCCTCTGACCGTCAGCTCTGCAGAACTTGATAGTTTACTTGGCAAGGTAAGTCTGGATGAATTTTTCCTTGATTGTTTACATTCTGCCTAGTGAATAATTAGCCAAAGTTGGTTGTTGTTGTTGTTGCAACTTGCAATAGCAAGTTGCAGCCTGACCAAAAGTCCAGATACATTTAGTGATGGTGATTCTACAAAGTTATATTGCAAAAGTATCGACCAAATGGTAATATAATTTTGTCCCAAGTCAACAGTGATGCCAGAGTTGGATTTCAGGGCTTTAAGGAAATGGAAAGTACACTTGATCATTCAAAATTGGCTTAAAAATGAGAGGAACCTGTTTGTTTTTAGTTATTTACAAATAGTTACTTCAGCTAGCATGAGCAAAAAGCGATTTAAATTAAACTGTTGTTAGTGATGAATACCACCTTGTATGTTAATAGCTAGCTAAGTAAAAATAACTAGCCCTTTCTCCTTTATCTGGGAGTGGCATTTGATTCTATTTCCTATCACTTGGTATATCGGAGTTGGTACAAATTTTTTTGTGCAGTTCCTGACCTTTGCAGAATATTATCGCCTAAATGTTGAGTTGCTATTAGTAGTAATTGCCAAATTTTTCCATCTTTGTGCATATGCGATATTTCATGTCTTAACATTGTACGTGTTATAGGATGGATTCAAATGTAGTGGTGCAACAGTACAACAGAACATTGTACTGTTCTATGACTACATATGACTAAATCTGGATCCAGTTCAGCATCTGTTTAAGACAGAGATTCGTTTTTTTGTTTGGGCACTCTATTCTTGTAACAGTCTCAGAAGTCTAGCATTTTCAAGCTCTCAAAGGTGATGGCTGGTTCATCTCTTGCCACCTACAAAAGCCATTTATGTGGTCTATCCCCTGCTTCTTCTCCACAGCTAGTTTAAGCAGGGTGGAAGATGAAGTGAATAGGCAGTGTCAAACTGCAGTTAATCTATGGAAAGATAGTTGCAGTACTAAAAAAACCGCAGAATATTAACTATAACGTGTGGAAAAGCTCTAAAAGAATGGAAATCTCCTGAATAGCTCACTAAAGGCAAGTCTGTTTTAATGCAGGACTATGGCGCTCTAAAGGATATCGTGATCAATGCCAACCCCTCTTTCCCTCCATTATCATTGTTAATACTCCACAGTTTGCTGTGTGAGAACTACAAGATACTTTCAACTGTTCATACACACTCATCTGTGAAAAAAGTGCCAGAAAACCTCCTCAAATGCTTTGGTGAGCAGACAAAGAAACAATCGCGCCATGAATACCAGTTGGGATTTACTTTAATTTGGAAAGACGGTAAGTCCATGGGCATTTATTAATAGCTGCTAGAACTGTTAGAGTTAGCTTATACCATCTTACTATCATAACTCATAACATGAAGATGTATGCTTGGATCTTTGTATCTAAAATGGTTTTAAGTATGTCTCTGCAAGTCAGGATCAGTTTATGAATGAGATTCAAATCGTATTTTTGTTCTTCATGGCATATTTTATAATATGAACTGTGGCAAAGAACACAGGCCTTGCCAAAGTAAGTCTTAAAAAGAATTAATAGCTCTTTACAGTGTAGTCACATTTTATAGGGCACTTTGTTGTACGCCGCCCAGAGCTGCCTGTGTTGAGATGGGTGGCTATATAAATTGGTTTAATAAATAATAAATAAATACATTTACAATAGATTGTGAGAAGATCTGTGATAGGTCACAGCTAGTTATGCCTAATCCAGATATTTTAAAATCTGAGATACATAATTCTATAGTATAATGACATTTAAAGCTAAACCCTGGGCAGCCCACTCCCTCTCCTTAGAAGTAGTAAAGGTAGGCAATGGAGCTAGTGGGACACTTTCCTGTTTTCTTTATTTTCACAAAAATCCTAAGGTTTTCAGGAATTCCCGTTCTTAGAATTGATTATGCGCCATCAAGTCATTTAGTGACCCCACAGATATTTTCCATGACAGTCTGTCCCCAACCTGATCCTTCAGCTCTTCCAATAGTTCCTCCATCTTGCTGCTGGTCGTCCTCTTCTTCTCTTTCCTTCCACCTTTCCCAGCATTAGAGGCTTCTCCAGAGAGCTGGGTCTTGGCATAATGTGTCCAAAGTAGGATAATTTGAGCCTGGTCGTTTGTGAAAACTCTGGGTTGATTTGTTTCGTGGACCGTTGGTTTGTTTTCTTGGCTATCCACAGTATTCTCAGAGTCTTCTCCAACACCATAATTCAAAGGCGTCAATACTCTTCCTATCCTGCTTCTTAGAAGGTAGTTTGAAAATGCCCTTTTAAAGATTCCTTTACCCAGCTAATACAATTAAAATGATGAAATTAACTTGTAATGAATTATAGAACAAGCACACTGCCAGTTCTTACTGGCCTTAAATTCAATCCCTTTGAAGTAGATGCAATGAGATTTTACCTGTGGTTATGAATTGGAGAAATCATTGTTTGAAAAGCGTTGAGGGTACCTGAGCAATGTAGTGACAGGAGGAACTGCACTGATTAGACTCAGTGTTGCAGTGAATACTTTGGCAATGTTAGCTTGGGCTGTTCTTGCTGAATTATTATCTCAGCTATTTGTCATTCTGAACCGAATCTGACAGCTAAGCATAGCTAGCATTATCTTTGGAAGAACTCAAAACACGAAGAGTGGCACATCCATGCACTCCCTGTCTACTTCAAGGACATTGCCTTAGCTAGAAAGAGAATCATAGGGCAGTTTTGATGTAGCTGCAAGCTTTCTAAGGTGAAGATGCACCTTCTGTTGTTGTGTCTGCCTTTTGGAAGGATCCTCCCCCCCAAGATTTGGATGGCCCTGATCCACTTAGCCTTTAGGGGAATTTAAAAATCTGGCTTTCGCTCTAAGTATTGGGCCAGGATGATAACTGAACCCATCTTCCAGGAGATAGTGTATGATTGGTGAGTCTCAGCTTTGTGTTGTTGATACGGTTGATGGGTTTGTTTTTGTTGACATTGGATGTTTTTATTTGCACCATTATTTGGGGGGGTGATCTTTATTTGATGTATACTGCTTGGAGTTGCAGTTGGGTTGGGTGGCTACATAAATCTTTTAAATATGACGCAAGATGGAGAAGGAAAGGCTGAGGTATTTGAAGATGTTTGTTGCTTGCTGTTCATCTTGAGGTATTCGTTACCTGCAGAGCAATATCTTATGTGAAAAATCAGGCTGGCAACCAAGGAAATGTCTCTTCAAACTCCATGAGACCAAAAAGATGTTTAGAATGAACAGCGAATATATACTGGCTCTTCAAATGTCATCAGTGTCTAATACTCTATTGGGATTATCATTTCAGTGCCAAAACCCCAGATGAAGTTCAGCATTCAAACCATGTGCCCCATCGAAGGAGAAGGAAACATTGCTCGGTTCTTGTTCTCCTTACTTGGCCAAAAGCATAATGCAGTTACAGCCACTCTGATAGACAGCTGGGTCGATACTGCCATCTTCCAACTCCAAGCAGGAAGCAATAAAGAAAAAGCAGCAGTTCTGCGATCCATGAATGCAACCCTTGGCAAGACCTCCTGGCTGGTGGGCAATGAATTGACGGTAGCGGATATTGTGGCCTGGTGCGCCCTTCAGCAGACAGGGAGTACGGATGCTGTTCCAGCCAACGTGCAGAAATGGCTCCGATCTTGTGAGAATTTGGCACCTTTTAATTCTGCTCTCAAGTTATTAAAGTAAATTTCTATCCTGTGGACAGGCAACCAAATTCAACGTTTTCTACATCTTATGTTCTGGCTATGAATCTGGGATGTTTGTTGGACGAATGAGATTTTAGAAATAGTCAAGCTGTAATGCCAATAAAGATATCAGAATTGTCTTTTGTAAAATGATACTTCTTCAGCAAGAAAACGAGCCCCTAGTCACTTCATGGACATATCTACGTGGTCTCCTTGGCAAAAATTTGGGCCAGGTTTGCCATTTGAGATGTTTTCCTCTTAATATTCCCACTTAGCCTACAACCCTGGAATCTCCTGGCAGTCTTTCATCCAAGCAGTTTCCAGACCCAATTCTGTTTAGCTTCTTTGGGATTACCCAAGATTGGCTGGTCCTGCTATCTGCTGTAACTACAGCATTTTTGTTAATGTAAGAAACTGAAGAATTTCAGGAACACTTATCTGTAATTTCTGCTCAGTTCAAATGAGAAACATCCACATTAAGACCTGGAACATTTTATATAAAAAAATAGGACAAGTTAATAGTAATACACTTACAAGTACCTTTGGTTCACTTAAACAGGAGAGCCAAGTGGCTTAATTCTGTCTCTTTCATCCCTCTCTTGTAAAAGTAATTTAATTTTTTCTTTAAGCAGTTTGATTTCTTCTTCTTGCTTCATTACTTTCTGCTGAAGAATACAAATGACCTAAACAAAGCAAAGCAGACAATTATTGCAGCCACCCTACATCCAAAATAATACTAGTCCAGGAAGTAGAACATCTGATAGTACAGCATAATTTTTTTCAATGGCTATTCACTTCCTTTTTAAATTAAGAATACCCAGCTTAATTTCACTTAAATTATATTCGTGGTTCACATTTCAGCATGTAGGAAGTGTTGCATCTCAAACTATGTTGGGACATCATTTGTGGGGGAATACTAAATGAAAACCACAATTTACTATCTGGCCAAAGAGTGCTGTCATCTAAGGAAGAATATCTCAGATTCTCCTGTTCTGGCATTTCCCTTCCGCAGCCTTGTCTTGTGGCAATTCCAGATGACAAATGTAATTTCTAATTTATTACAATATTTTGGGATCCATGCCTCTGAAAAAGGAAGTCTTAAAAAAAAAAAATAAGGATATAACTTCAAATGTTACACCTTTTGTCCATTTGGGTTATCAATCTATCTGTGAGCCACACCCAGGAAGCTGTCTTACATAATAGAGGCCCATCTACTCCAAGTATTGCAAAAGGAGCCCCTTGACAGGAACAGATCTTGCCAACGCTTACATTTGCTGAGTTATGGAAGAGTTCACTTTCCAGAAGCTGAATGGCTGTTGGTCTATGTGAGGATACATTGCTGGTCAGCAGCTTCACATATTTGGACTGTATTGGCCATCTTCCACTAAAAGAAAACGGGAGGCTGCCACGTCTTAAGCCCATCAAAACTTCTGTTCTCTCCATTTCTGTTCCAAATGGCTGGAAGAGTTCAAACAGGATGACACCCAAGCTGTACATATCCGACTAGGGAGAAAAGAAATGTTCAGGGTTACAACTCTTTCCAGATTTTAATACAATTTTTTAATATTCCTGTCCCTCAGGATCATTGTTGGGATGTGCACTGTACAACAACAGCTATATAGTGCCTCACACTTGACCCATACACTAGGGAGGCAAATTTTGGCAAAAGCAGAGAGGTGGGCCAGAAACTTTTCCAGGTTGATATTTCCCACTTCAGGCCACCTTGGCAATTTCAAAGCTGTACAATGTTTGCCTTTTAGGCGATCGTTCTAAAAAACTGAGAAGCCCAAATACTTGTACAGATGCTGGTTACTGAGGGGATAACTGGGATTGGACCCACATAGGAAAATGGGACACTCACATCCTGTCTATTCACCAAACACCTGTCATAGCCACTGCAGCCAGTCTGCAATATACCCATTTTCCAGAAGGGACAAGTAAGGATCCTGTGTCCTTTCCTCTCAAGCTTCCAGTGTGCTCTCTATCCCCCTCTAAGCTTGCTTGCTTGGGTGGGTGTGCGTCTGTGTCTTCCTGGATAGGCAGGCAGACTTCTAAGGCACAATACAATCACTGTAATTTTGTAAGGAATAAGCATTCTTGTAAGTCAAGGCACATTTGTCTTTCACACCGCAAACACCTCTTTATCTTTTAAAGAGAGATTGCCTCCCAATATTTTCAAAGCCGATGGCTAAATGGCTTGGTAAGGATTAAAGACTGCTGCTTGCTGTTGTTCTGTTATTTCTTATGGCTGCAAACAATCCCTGTGCCCTACTTCCTTCATGGGAGCATTTGGACTTTCAGTAGTTTTCCATGTCGAGGGTTTCGTGCCTTTTTAATTAGTTCACCTTTAGAATTCTTGGATCGGCATCCTGCCCTTTGACACCTATGCTAAAAAATACAATTTCACAACTGGGGTCCTGTTAAAAAAAGCTACAATTACACTGGAGGTTTGGATGGCTGTACCTTGAAATCATAGTAAGAGCCTTGGAGTTGTTCAGGTGAAGCATACAGGCAAGTGCCTACTCCGGAGGTATGGATGAATGCTATACCAAAATAGAGAACGTTAGCGTTTTTTTAAAAAAATCCAAAATTGCTATCCAAATCAATAACTGAAGCTCTACTGGAGTGCTTTATGGTTACCATTATTTTTCTCTGCATGTAGCAAGTGGGTTGTATCTTCCTCTATAATATCTCTACAGGCTAACCCAAAGTCTCCTATTTTCACATGGTGGTCAGGTCCTTGTAGAAAGATATTTCGGGGCTGTGAAAACAAATGGTGAATGTATTTCAGAAACGTTGGCCCACTTGACGTGTGAAATTTAGATTAACTGAAAATGTTAAAATAGAGCGAAGAGCTAAAGCTATATGCTAACCAGATTCTGGTTGTCAACACCAAGTAGGGGTTCTGACCTTGATGGCCCTCAATGGCCCCTTCCAATTCTAAGTGTCTTTTCCAGTGGTGATGTAAGCCTGAGCTGAACATGTCATCATTGCAGAGGTAATACATCTCTCTGCTGGCCTGAAACCTTTCAGAGTTAGGCCACTGGAAAGAACTATGAGATCATCTCCTAACTGGTTCCAGAACCAGGCAGACGTTGGGCACCATCATCACAAAGGGACAATGGCTCACACATAAGGTTCTAAGCCTCTGAATTTGCTCTGTACCAAGTCTTCTAAACTAGGCATTTCCTTTTCTGAGATGGGTAATTTGGTAAGAAGTCCCTGGAAATGGGAAAGTGAATGGACAGAAGAAAAATTAATTGAAGCAATAATGACCAATGATACATCGATGCTTCAAGATTTACTACCCTCCCATTCAGTCTACCAAACCGTTATCTGCCAGGTAGCCATCTGCCTAAATCTTAAAGACTATAATATCAAGATACATAGAATTTGATGTAGAATGCTCAAAAGCCAGTATTTCTGAAAAAAATGTTTAATTTAGTACAGGTAGTCCCCAGTTTCAGAACAAGTTCTGTTCCCAAGGTCTGTCCTTAAGTCAAATTTGTATGTAAGCCGGAACAGTATTATTGTATAATAGAGGTAGTCCCCGAGTTAAGAATGCCCAATTTACAGATCACCCATAGTTAAGAACTCAGTCTACTGTAGCAAAATTTTAGTTAAATACACAATGATTTGAGTTAAATACCCAATGGTTCGAGTTAATTACACAATACTATTTATACAGTATTATACAATAATACTGTTCCAACTTACATACACATTCAACTTAAGGGCGGACCTTGGGAACAGAACTTGTTCTTAAACTGGGGACTACCTGTACTGTATAAGTAGTAGTGTGTATTCAACTCAAATCATTGTGTATTTAACTTGAATTTTGTTACAATAGGCTCTGTTCTTATGGGTTGTCTGTAAACTGGGTGTTCTTAACCTGGGGACTACCTGTATTACAAATTCATTCCAAATATTATTTATATGTTATTTCAACCTGACTTTTTGACAAGCAGCAGAATGACTCTGCAATCTTATGCATATCTAAAAGTAAGATCCACTGACCCACTCTTAGGATTTAAAGCTAAATGGGACTTAATTCTGAGCTAACAAGCACAAGTCTATGCAATGAGGCTGTAATCTTACACACAAATACATTGGATTAAGTCTTCACTGAAAAAGGGTTCTTTGGCTAATCCTTCAGATATTTATTCCAATATAAATTATAAAATATCTTAGCAGGTTTCCTGCAGAGGTCCCATGCTTTCAAAACAATCAGCAAAATATATTACAATTAAACTTTCTGCAATCAGTTTCTGGGCATTAGTCAAAGTTCACATCAGATTCAGAGAATAAGCTACTATTTGAGACAGTAGAACAAAATGTATTATAAATACAGTAGAGTCCTTCAGACGGACTGATTTAATTAAAGTACATCAAATATGATGAGTTGTTCCAATAGCTTACATGTTACCAACTATCAGTTTTATATCTTCTTTCTCCCCTACTGTCAAAGAAACAGCAAGGAAGGTATGTGCAAGATAATATACACAACGAAGATCCTGAAACGAGGTAATGTCTTACCAAATATCAGAGGTCATAATATGGGATTTGGGAAATGCTTAACAGGAAGAAAATTCCCAACCCCTCTTAAAGGCTTCACCATCAACATTGCCAACCCAAGCTGTTTAGCAGTGAAAGACCAAATTATGGGAAGTCAACTTTGGTTGGTTGGCTGGAGTTGATGATGTCCAAAATATCTAGACAGCGCCATGTATTTTACCCGTACATATTAGACATTACAGTACAGAGAAAAAGGGCTTGCAAAGTATTTATTTATTTTATCCCTGCCCAAATAGCCACCAAACAGCAGAATGCTCCCAGGAGATCCATCACAGAACAGAAGAAAGGAATGATAAAAAACATCTCCCTGTCAAATTGAAGGAGAACGTCAAGACCATAAACAGTTACATGTTTGGCCACCATGATCACCATCCTCTCCATTTAGCTGTAACAATTGGGTGTCATCACGTAATACCGGACCTGCTGAAGCGGGGGGCAAAAATAAACGACAGAGCTAAAGCAGGCCAAACTGCTCTTCATCTAGCTTCAGAAACCCTCAACCAAGAAGCCATTAAAATGTTACTCCGTTGTGGTGCCAAGGTAAACTGCACAACTCCGATTACCGAAGAGACCGCGCTCCATTTGGCTGTCCGCTCCTCTTCTTCCAAGGCTGGCATTGTCTTAGCAGCAGGTGGGAAGTGTGTTGAGCTTCTGCTGCTGAATGGCGCAAATGTGCACATGAAAGACTGGGAAGGCCAGGAAGCCATTCACAGCGCTTGCCGAAACGGCAGAGAAGACATCATTAATCTCCTCTTCAATTATGGGGCAGACGCTAACTCCTTAACGCAGCAGGAGGAGTCTCCCCTTTTCCTATTCCTCGAAAAAGCAATAAATCTAAGAAAGGCCAATGTTCTGAAGAAGCTGCTAAGCCAAACATATCCTCTGAAGCTCACTAACTATGAAGGTCGCCTACCTCAAGTGCTTGGCCATCCCAACTGGGAACCGCTGAAGGACATGCTCCTGCAAGCGTCTTTAGAAGTGTGGTCCTTGCAGGATATTTGCAAATTCAACATCAGGAAGATATATGGAGGAAACTTGAGATATTGGCTCAAAGGGATAATCCCAGCCCAGCTGTGGGACTCTATATACATTAACCAAGAGTTCTCATATGCTTCAAAAATAAATGATTTTTGACTGTGTGCAATGTGCACACCAGTCAAGAGTAGGAGAAATTAGGCCCTGTGACGCTAACCAATGTATCAAAAAAATAAAGACTTGGCTTTGTGTTCTGAGTCCATCCACATGAACATTTATTTCAATACAGTGCACTCCATCTGTTGAAATATTTATAAGAAAAATGGGAAGGGATTTCTACCTTTAGAGATGTGCAACAGACATACAGCAGAGCCTTTTTAATCACTATTAGAAGGAATGTAATTATACCTGAACACAACAGAAATTGGGGAAAACTCAAAAACAGGGAGAGGAGGAAATGGCATGCATGGTAAATAAATATATATTAAAAAGGTGTTCATCAGTTTGAAGTGACAGAAATTTGTGTTTAAGGAGAAGTTTCTACTGTTCTCCATATCTAATATGATGCCAATATATAGGTGTTTTTTAATTCTAAATATTTAACTATATATCCATGTTCTTAATGCACTATTTGAATACAGAATTTATAAGCATTTTTTTCTGTGGCATATGTAAGCCACAGGCTTATGGAGCTTCCATAATAGCTTTAAAGGAGTATTTTACTTACTTTAATGTCCCGGTGCATGACTCCCATACTGTGGATATAATACACTCCTTCTAGCAGCTCTTGGAAAATCTTTAATGTCCAGTGTTTCTCAATAGGGTGATAAGAACCTTTAAAAAATGTGGAGTGTTTAATGTTCAGTACTGGAATGTCTTACAACAGCTTGTTAACAAGTCTATTTTAAAACAGTGTTGTTTTAAAAAAAGAAAATCAAGCCAGCGGTCTTTTCAAGAACAGTTGCTTAAACTTTAAGGCTTACTAGAGGCATCTGCTGCCCTCAGACATATGTCATTTCTGGTAGCAATCCAGTCACATAAGGAGGTTTCACACAGTTGCATTTGTATGTGAAGCATCAGGTGATACTCGGTCTAAGAAGAAAACAGGAATGCACACTTCTTTAATGCACCGCCACAAACATGTATAATACTATAGCAAACCTAGGAAAGGCCATGCAGTTCCTAAAAATCAGAACTGCGGCAGATAATTTACTGAAAAATCCTTCCTGCTTTTCCATCCTCAAAACTCTTCTGGGTCATATATGGGGTAGGGAAGCCTGACACAGATGATGCATTTTTGAGGACTGCTTATCAAAAGTTCATATTCACCAACTTCTGAATAAATACACCATCCCTCAACACTCAGACCGTTTCAGACCTGCATGTAAAAACACCCCTCCCCACTTCACTCAAACCACGTGGTTCACCAGGGCTGTGCAAATCCTGAAGCATCTTTTTCACATAATTAGCACAATCCTACTCCTTCCCTTTAATAGTACTTAAAACTATTCTGCAGAAGTATCAGAGCATAATTAAAACATATTCAATATGAATTTGTGCTTACTGTACAGGGCTGATGCCAAGACATCTCCTTCTGCAGATCTTCTTCATCGCTGCGAGAATCACTGGCATTTGCATGGTCCCTATTTTGACTACTGTAATATAGGATTGATGACTGATTTATGCTGTCCCTTAATCTGCTGGTCATGTCATTTTCGCCACTGCTCTCATGTGTCCCTAGAGGAAGTGCGCAAGCATTCATTTCACTTCCTTCAGAGTTTCTGCTGAGAGAATCCTCTGGGCTCCCATTGGCAAAGATAATGGAACTGTCTTCCATTTCTTGAATGGAACTCTGATCCCTGCAAAAAAGCGAAATCAAGGCAGTGAAGGAGACTGTACATCCTTCACTGTCCAAGAAAAAAAAAGAGGGCTTTTCTTTGGAAAAAAATGAGGCTGTTCTTGTGGAATCCTAGAATACGTACTCAGAATTTCCTTGCCCAGAAGACATTTTGAGAGATGGAAGATCCAAGACTGAGTCACCTATAATTGAGAAACAGGACATTTCATAAAGATAATATTATACTGCTGGGTTCATACAAGATGGACTAGGTGAAAATCAAACTGGATTTTACTGTTTTGCAATTCGTTGGGGGCATTATATAATATGTGAACATGTCTGTTAATCCAGGTTTAAGATTGTAGGTCTGTACCCAAACCATTATCTCACTATTTATTAATACCATGAAACTTTCAAGTTATTCAGCTTTATAAATATAGTGATGAAAGACGAGGAACCTGCAGTCATCAAGAGGGCTGGGAACTAAATTCCAGTCTCCCTCTCCGTTAGCCTTTCTGGCAAGGGCTGATGCCAATGACACTGCCTTGATTTCACTTTTTTGCAGGGACCAGAGTTGCATTCAAGTCCAGCAACATCTGAAAGACCACATGTCCCTATCTCTGGGGTCAGCAACAGAAGTCGTACCACAGTGTAAACAGTACAAGTTACCACGTGTTCTTTTTTCAATATTAGTGACATATTTATTAAGGGTGTAAGCCTCATCAGGTCCCTGCCAAGACACTAATGGAGAAAAACTTAAAAGGATGATTATGGATTATATAGAGGGCGGAATGAAGTTATACTCCCCTTTTGGACCTGTTGGTTGAACATGTTCCATCCAAGCAGTGTGGTAACCTACAATATTAGGATGCTGCAGCTGAGCCAAGACCTTCACTTCCCGCAAGACCTACAAAAAGATCAAAGAGGACTTGTACTTGGCATGGCCAGAGGAGCCACTATTTCCCAAGCTGTCCACAGTGTTGCCTGGGGCCTTTCACTTTTGCCCTTACCCACTAGCGAAAGATGTAACTTCCCCAATAAGGGGACCACAGGCCTAAAGGCACCCCTTGAAAAACTCGGCACCCCAGGCAAATGGTTTGAGTTGGATGATGGGAAAGACTCCTGAAGAGCTGGGCAACGTTTCCCTCCACCCCCCCATGGGCATTCCTCTGGGAATACAACGAACAAATCGTAGGTGGGATTAACGAGCAGGAATTGCCAAAGTGAAAAGTGAGTGGGGTTACCCATTCAACCCGTTTCCTTCTCTCTCTCCCTCCATTCTTCTTCCCGTGCATGGGGGCAGGAAGAGAGTACCTTTGCTAAAAGTCTACATCAACGATTAGCAGAAGTTTTGAAACAAGACCATGAAATAGCAACGTTTCTGCTTGCGGGCCAGAGACTTCCTTTAACTTTAAACATCAACTAACCCCGAGCCGAGAACCACGATGCCTGCCTTTCCACAACGCCCTCGAGCAAACATAAAACAAGCACATACCTTCATGCAATCTCGTTTCGTGGCTTTCTTAATCAGGATTTTTTTAATCGCGTAGAATTGACTATCAAGTTTATTTCTGACCTGAAAGTAGATCAACAGGGCAGAGGGATATAAGAGAAATTTAGACTAATTTCTCTGATAGAGCGTCCTTTTTGCAAAGAAGTTTAATCCAGACACAGTGATTTCAGAAACACATATATAATCTGCCAGATTCAGAATATGGGCATCGGGTGGCAGGTGGGAAGAAACACATCATGTGTATCATGACATAATTGCACAAACAATACAAATTACATAATTTCACTTTTCAGCAAATCCAAACAATCTTGTGGTTTTAAGAGCGTATTCTTGCATCACATTCTATAAGTCTACTCAGAATAAAATCTTAGATATATTCAAAGAAGGCCTCCCAGAATTTCGATCCACCACCAATGAGAATTATTCTCCATTCCATTATAAACAATGATAATGCTGCTAATATAGTCAATTATAAATACCTTATATACTGTTCCATATCCTCCTTTTCCGAGCCTCGAAATCTCATCAAATTCATTAACATAGCGGGATGTCTGTGCTTCAAAGAGGATTTCATTTTCCCTAATTTTTAAAAGAGCATATTAATAGTTGCTATATACAAATCAGCAGTGCGAGAACAATCACCAACAGACAAATCCACCGTAGGACTTCCCGTCATGGATAGATGAGCAAAGTATGGAAGTAGGAAAGACAGTATCTTTCAAGCAGGAGAAAAAGATCAGCTGTCCCTAACTGGAGGCCTTCTAGATGCACTGCCCTGCACTCTTACCGCTCATCACTAAATAGAAATATCAGTGCAGCTTGGGAATCTAAATCTGTGGAAGCAGGGCTGAAAACCAGGAAGTTTTGCAGTACTTGACCCTGTCTCTACACATGCAGCCACCATCCATGTAGAAAAATATCCAGATTGGTGACAGCCTACCAGGATCACACTGTTGATTTATATCCTGCCTTAGACACATCTCAATTTTTCCAATTCAGACAACGTGGGAAAATTCTCCCTTCGGAACAGAAACCAAAAGACTTTAGTCTCTTCTTGGGATGCCCAAGACTTTTACATTACATGATTTTTGATTCCAACCTGACATTAACCTGAATTTTATATCTGCAATGCAGGAACTCCAGAAACCAGTGCTGAATGCACTTCATAGAGAATAAAGCTCTACCAAGCAGTTTTAAAGTCAATGTGTTTAATAAAATAGGCAGCTGATTTAAACATTACTCACAGGGATTTGAACACGTACCTGTTTCTGCAGGAATCACCAAGACCAACTTCCTACATAATACAAAGAAAGAAATGTCACAGTCGGGTTCAGTAACAAACGCGCAATCCAAAAACAAAATCTGATTAGTGAAAATAAAACGAAAGCCAAGAAAGCAAAAATCAGCAGCCTTTAAGCACAAATGTTAATCCAGCAGAGAAGCCGTTTTGAGCTTCTTTTCCAATTCCTTCTTATTCCTATTCTCCAGGTATTTTACAAAACCGTACCTAAGGAAACCGAACATTAAAAAAAAACAAAAACTACACACCTTTTCTGGTCACCCAACGGATCAGATCCATGGTTTGAAGATCTGCTTGCAAAGCAGAGTTTGCATTAATTGTGCTTAATAGGAATAATAAGCTGCTCTGAACCACAGTTGCCTTTTTAAAGTCTGAAAGCTGAACCCTCTGTTCAGAGTTTTTCTTCAACTCCCAGGATTCCCCAGCCAGTCCCAGCCAGCCCCCCGCATCTTAAAGTTGCCAAGGTTGAGAAACACTGCTCTAGTTTATATTCTACCATGCAGTTAATATAGCCTATCGTTTGGCATGACATCCAAATGAACCGGAATAATGGTGTTTTGTTCCCTCCTCACCCTCCTTCAGCAAAATAAGATGCATCAGCTGTAATAAACCCACCAAAACCACAGCAGTGAACTGCCAAGATTCCCCATTTTGCACGAGTATTAAAAGAGTCATCCTGGACTGATCTGAAACCCCATATGGTGTGCTAGCATGCTTTTAATGGACATGCCGGGAAGCAGAGAGAGAAATACCTCACTGTGTATTTGCTTGTTGGCGGCTTTCATTAGTTCAGTAATAGCTCGATTATGCTGCAGTCGCAAACTGCTGAATTCTTCACAGACGGCGAAATCGGAAAGCAAGCGCATCTGAGTAAATGTTTTACAGAGTACTGTATGAAAAAAAGAGAAGGCCATTTGAAAATAAACCTAACACTATTCAATGCTTGCGTTCATTATGGTTTTATGGCCTCACTCTACTTAAATTGCTTTTATTTCATTTAAATTATGTTTACAAGCCCCGGAGGGTGGCTTCAAGAATAATAAAAAGCCAGATATTAATACAACTAACAATTATAATAAAACTAGCCTCATCCAGCCCTCCAAATCTAAAATCCAGTAAATAATAGCAGCTAAAAACCATCAGCAGGTAAATAAAAAGCAACTTAAAAGAGAAAAACAAAGGGAAAAGCGGGGAGGTTTTAAACTTCCCTATAAGACTTAAGGCTTAATTGCTCAGGTAATGCACTGCAGAGGAGGAAGGCCAGGTCACTATTAAAGGGCCCTTTGTTACAGTGCTGTTGTAACGTAACAGTAGACAAGAGTAAAGCTGGAAAAAAAAATGAACCCACAATGATACATTCATATAAACTGAAGCCCACCACCTGGCATGTTGTGGCAATCTGAGTATCTTTAAATATCTAAATACAGAGACATGAAGTACCTATTTAATCTATACAACTTTAACCAATCAAAAGATCACATTTCCCCACGTCAGGAGCTTTGAGGCCAAATGTGTGTCTTGGACTTCTGCAAAGCTTAAGATCCCCCTATTTCATACCTTCAAACCTGAAAAATGCAAAAAAAAAAAAGGGGGGGGGACATAAAATACAAAAAATTTCAGTCCAACCCATGGGGTATCATTATGACATCACTGGCCACACCCTCAATACAGCTGTGGGCGGAGCAAATGGCAAAGTATATCTGCAGGGCCGAAAAAAATTGCCACTTTAAGTATGGACAAAGAGCGTCTTGAACGTGTTGATCTTTTTATTCTCTACCCTTCTATTTAACATGTTTATTGAATGTAATAAAACTGAGATCAAGCGAATGCTGCTTTTTGGTGTTACTCTCTGGGAAGTATTGTCCCCAGTCTATTCCACAAGCTCAATTCAAACTCTTCACTAACATTGAAACAAACGCCTCGAACGTGTAGGATCTTGAGTGTATATGTGGCAAAGATGCTCCAGCAGAGAAACTAGCAGGAGCTGATTGGCAAATGAGGACGTGATGTTCATTAATTTCTGGGAACCATTTGCACCCCGAAATTCAGTGGGCCAGTCAGAATCTGAAAAAAAAGAAAGAACAAGAAGGAAAGTGGATTACGTCTAATTTGTAGTACCTTGAAAATAAGATCTAAAGGAGTTTCAAATACGTTGGGCTGTAGTGTAAAGAACCCAGATTTCTTCAAAGGCCATTTGATTTTCTTCCCCCTTCTTTCCGTACCCTTTTGAGAACAGATGGAAACTGTGAGGAGTGCAGCAATAATCCATTATTTATCTCAGCCTCCTATCGACGCCATGGAATATCAATGCTGCAAAGCTGTTTTATGGCCATATGAAGGTGCAAGACCCATGTTCATAAGAGAAATGCTTTGTTTTCATGACAAATGGGATGTAATAAAGATGCAATCCATCTCTAGGGCTATATCAGCAGGGTTGCTTTAAAAAAGCATGTGTGTAGGAAGCAATCATCCCCAGAATTATTATACAGTCTATAAGTAATACATGTATTGTTATATGGACAAACTGTTATTACTCATTTATAAAAAGCTTTATTGCTCTTTCCATCTCCTTGTTTTATATTTATGGTACGAGCTACAGTAGTTATAACATTTTTAATAAAGAAAATGTGAAAGAAAAATATAGATTATCGCATACGATAATTTTGCCTGTGTTTATCTGTGTGCGGACAACTAAATTGATTCCGTCTCATACAGAAATACTATAGCAAGAAATTCACATGCAACTTGTGAGTATCCACCACATGTATATACTGCAGTGAAAAAATACTAACACAACTACATTGAAGCTTTTGGGCAATAGGTGATTTCCTCCCAAGGTGTGGAATTCCAATTCCCGTTAATTCTCATCCAGCCTAGCCAGTTATAGAGAGCATGGGATCTGTAGTTCAACAATACCTGGTCACTCAGGGGACCCATTCCTCCTCTATTCTACCCTCTAGTTATCACATGATCCCTCTTTGCACCAGTAACCTGCAAGTTCATCTGGTTATTTACATCATTACTATTATTATTATTACTACTACTACTACTATTACTATTATATTTTTATCCTACCTTTCTTTATATATTTTTGGTCAACTCAAGGCTTTATCTTAGGATAAATCAATTCTAAACAGGAAATAGCTTAACTGCTGAAATCCTTGTAACTCTATCCCTTTCACGCCAATCAATGTGCTAAAAATGTTGTGAGATTTATGCCCAGCCATAGAATTTACTTTTGAATTGGTCTGGGCAACCAACCCAATATCTGTGCAGCAGACCTGTTTTTAAGCAAGCATAGTTCAGAATTCCAAAGATCCTAGTTTCCATCTGAAGTAACAGAAATGACGCTGATGCAATGATACTGCAAACCAAGTCACAAGGCCCCTTCAGAGCAATGATGAAATAGCACTTTCCCTCATCTGCCTCAAGGTAAAGAAATGAGATCCAACCATGTGAAAGTTCAGCCATCCAATATCCTTCAACACTTAGGCTATAATATCTCAAATAAGGTTCTACAAGGAGAATATTTCCAAAAACAGAGAGGAAAGGAAAAATAAAAAATGGCAACAGAATTACATGGAAAGTAGCCATTTAACTGAAAACCCAGAACCCCAAAATGCCTCTTCCTTGTTTAGCAAGGAAGATTTTTCCCCTCAGGCAGAACCGAAGGAACACTAGCTCACCTCTCATTCTGAATTTTAAATCTCTGCCCAGAAACTCTGAACTGGGAAAAATGCAAGGCTTCCTATTTTACTTTTTTAAAAAAAATACACATAATTTAGCATTTTTAAAAAAGGTATCTTCTTTCCAAAGCAAGGCTGTCAACCTGCACAGCTCAAAACTGTATTTTCTAAGTTCACTTTACTTCACAGAGGAAATATATAGATGTAACAAATAAATTATTAAGCTATCTTTGACTGTTCCACTTCCTACATCAGGGGTAATACCTTAATATTCCAGCCAAAATCTTGCATGTAGAAAACTAGCATGTTAGGGAAAAGGCTGCAACTGACCTTATCTTCCAGCCCAACCCTTTTTCTAGATGCAGGTAGTTTCCAGCAAAAAAAGCATTCAAACAGAAATTGAACAACCCAGGGGGGAAAAATGCATATGGTCTCTCATGTGGATTAAGTCTCCCAGGTGAACTTTACCACAAAGCTATTCCCTGCTCAGGGGCACTCTGCTAAGTGTGTTTTGCAAATGTGGAGGTGGGTGGAGAAAATTGATTCCATTCCTGGAATTAATTAGCTTTCTTATTAGAGGCTGCAAGTAGTAATTTGCACTTTATTATGCATCATTTGCCTCCATCTTCCTCCATCAACTTTGTAACCTCCTCTTGTTGAATGTCAGATTATAAAGGCTGCCGGGCAGGGACCTTTGTCTAATCCATTGAACAAAACACACTAAAGAACAGGGGAGGGGGTGTCCTTGTGTCACCTAATGCAACTCACAAAACACTAAACAATACCCAGAAATGTAATTATTATCTTGTGGGTCTATTTTTTTTTGCATATCTATATTTTTGTTTATTATTTGATTACTTATTGTTAATCAATAAGTAATTAGTTACTTATTAATACATTGACTTATTATTAGTTGCTTTTTGTCATTTGAGGCATTACTAGTATTGCTTTTATCATGTCACTTTGTTGTAACTTGCCCAGAATCTTTTATTATTGCAATAATAATAATAATTAATATTGCAATAATAAAAGATTCTGGGCAATTAATTATTATTATTATTGCAATAATAAAAGATTCTGGGCAATTAATTATTATTATTATTGCAATAATAAAAGATTCTGGGCAATTAATTATTATTATTATTATTTGGGAGGGCTACAAAAATTGCAAAATAAATAATTTTCTATGGGTGTACACGTGTGGGTGTATATTGACACACATACACACAATTGTTTATATGCACGCACAAGTTATAGATGCATAACTATATATCAACTTGACCTATGAACTACAATTCATACCTGTATTATCCAGTTAAGACCCAGCTGTGATAATGTACAAGTATGATATCTAACCCATTTATAATCCAGAACTACATCTATAATAATCTAGAATTTTATATACTTATATGTTTAAACATACACATCTTTCTCTCAAATAAACGTATTTTTATATACCCATCCACTTACAATCCACAACTGTATATATAATAATCTAGGCTTTTATATACATGTATGTGTATATTTATGCATACACATATATCACTAAAAAAAATCTCTTTATGCAACCCACTTTACAATCCCCAGTGCATACATAACAATCTAGGGTCTCTTATGTATACATATATGTATCAAACACACACACTCTCTCTCGCTCTCTCTCTAAAATAACCATCTTTTTATACACCCCCTGCTTCCAATCCACAATGGTATATATAATATTATCTAGAACGTTATATACATGTATATTTATACAGATACATACCTATATCACTAAAAAAGCCATCTTAC